GGGGGTTATAATTGTGTTAGCCAGCTATGGAACTTGCTTAAACATGAAAGCAGGAAATTTGAGTAGCGCTTTTAATGAACTGTGTCATTTAGGTGCTGAAATGTACTGTTTGAAGCTGCGGAGAGCGTCTTTAGCTGTGATGTTCATTGATCTTTGAGTTTAAATTGGATGGTCTGTCTATTTGGAACCTGAACCAAGTCTGAATTTTATATGTCTGGTCTGTTATATTCTTACATTGCATAGGACCAAAAATTGCTCTTTCCAATAAGCTTTATATCAAAGCTGATCTGCTGATATAAAATGTGGGTTGCTGTGCTTGAGTGATTTAAAGTTATTGGCAAATTGAAATATAATGTAATACCTTTTTCAGAAAATGTGGATCCCTATGCTTGAGTAATTTTAAGTTACAAGCAATTTGATATGTAATGTAACTTAAAGACAGGAAAAATCTCATCTTTGCAGAAAGTAAGTTATCATTTCCTGCACTCTCACGAGCTGAAGAATGGCATCCAAATTTAAATCAGAAATTGCGTCTTTAAAGAAGTTAATAAGATGTATCATTCCAGTGCATCCATTACTATCAGCATTGATAGTTGAGCGTTAACCTCATTAACTGCTTCAAGTTTGTGCATGTGTGCGAGTTCTATACTTTTACTTCCTTCTATGCGAGCTTGGTTCTTTTCCATCTGATACTTCATTGAGGTGAAATTTTCCTTGAAAACTGTGCTCCTGCGTTGTGTTTCTATTTTAGGACTTCATCACAAAAATATGCACCTTTAGATTGGTCAATGTACTTTGACGAAGAAGATGATGTTTCCATCCCAGGCTCGGACAACGTAAGAGACATCAAAATTTCAATTGATTTATGAAGATGATATATGTGTGTGTACGTGTGTGTGTGTGTATTGTTTATTTTTCATACCTAAAGTTTTCCTCGAATTCGATCTGGTTCAGGTTTTTCACATTTATAAAGCTGGAACCGAGGGTCCTGTTGTTTTCTGTCTCCATGGTGGGGGTTATACAGGGTAGGCGGATCTTATGGCAAATTAACTACCTAATTTATGTTATGACATGCTCCTTTAGCCATGGCATGAAGTAGCTTGACGTGCGGATTTAATCATGTGATTCTAATAAGGAACTGCTAGTTGGACTATCCTGTCTTCTAATATAAAATTTTGCGGCAATGCGTGTTCATTTTTCTGCCGCCATCCCAATTTTCATTAAGAAGGAGTTTACTCTCTCTGATAGCATTTTCCTAATAATTATTCTGATTGACTAGAAGTATCTTTATAATCCTTAACTGTTCATGGAAACCAAAATATCAACCAACAGATATTTCTTTCCATTTGCTTGCCCATATAACCCTTTGTTTCCTGTAAAAAGGCTCAATATAAGCAGCCAGGCTCTTTACCTGTCATTTAATTTTCTTGATTCTTGCTTTAGGTACTTCTACCTTTAATTGAAGAACTTATCTTGTAATGTGCTGTATAGAAGACCAATATAGAAAATAGAATCAGATTGCTGAACCTCTAATATATGTATCTTTTCAAGCTCTAAGTAAGAATTGCTTGCAACTTTTGAAATCAAGCCGAGGTTCATATTTCAAAGTGTTCTATTTGCATTTTGTAAAACATACATGTTTCCGGCAGAGGTCTCCTTTTGCACTAAACTGTTTGATCATTTCCCCAGGCTCTCATTTGCACTGTCAGCAAGAATAATAAAAGAAAAGGCTCGGGTGGTAGCAATGGACTTGAGAGGGCACGGGAAGTCATCCACTGATAATGATCTCGACCTATCTATTGTGGTATTGCTTTTGAGATTGCCACCAAAATAGAAAACAATGCATCCAAATCCATTGTTCTTTAGTTTAAAGATAAAATAGAGATATTCTTCATGACACTTTCTATACCAACTGTTCAAGTGTTGACTTACTGAAACTGCAGACTCTTTGCAATGATGTAGTGGCTCTGGTTAAGACAATGTATGGTGATTCCCCTCCAGCTATTGTGATTGTTGGCCACAGGTTGTTCCACTCTTTTGTAATTTGAGGTTATGCTTCATCCATTCTTTTTTACAGTGTCTTATCCTCGTCATATCTTATGAAATCTAATTGTCTTGAAATTATTGTGTTCTGGCTTCACTCTTTCGGGGCTCTAGCTGAAAATTCGAGGCGCAAAATGTTGAGCACTTTTTTTTATTACTCGTGGATTGTTTGAGCTGTGACAACCTGTATCTTTCTGTGTTATTAAATATTAATGACTACTATTTCTTGCGTTATTTTCTCGACCAATAGAGGAAATTTCCTGTAATATTTATATGTAATGTAGCATGGGAGGCTCAGTTGCTGTTCATATTGCTGCAAAGAAGTTGCTTCCTAGCTTAGCTGGGCTGGTAGTCGTGGATGTTGTTGAGGTATGTGTTAAATACATAAAATTTATTGATACAACGGCCAGTTTTATAGTCAACTGAAATTCCAATTTCAAAATGCTGGTAATTTTTGTTGATACTTTTTGAAAATTCAGGGAACAGCAATGTCTTCATTGATCCATATGCAGAAGATATTATCAAATCGGGTGCAGCATTTCTCAACTGTTGAGAAAGCGGTAATAAATTCTATGGATACTGATTTTTAGATTTTTTTTTTCTCGATTTATTTTTTCCAAAAACAGTGTTAGGGAGAAAAAAGTAACAGGCTGAGCAAGCAACTGCCAACTAGAGAGTGATATATG